CCAGATGGGAAAAGCCAACAGTACCTTGTCCCCGCTGCCTGCAGTGCCCGGGTCAGTGGTCTGAGTAGTCTCCGGTATTGTAACGTAGCTGGGGAGAGGTCAGAGTACAACTGGAGTTTCGGAGTGCCGGTAGCGTAGGACTTCCGTCTCTCTTGCAGCCTTGAGGATAGACTCCTTTTCGGCGAACACCTCCAGGCAGCATGTGACGTCCCTGGGTGGTGCGTCTGGGAGTCCCTTCGGTCGTAAAGCATGGTGGACTCTAACAAGATGTAGAGGTGAGGTGAGGTCCCTATCCAACAGGCCATTAAAGATCTCTTTCAGGATGGCCTGGAGATGTGAGGGGTCTGTTTCTTAAGTTGTTCCGTCTCCCCCTATTATCTAAGTCCGCCACATGGAGCGCCATACCTCACAGGATGTCTTCATGCTGTGTCAAGGTGTCTCCTGTTTGATTATGTGCTGATGGGAGCTCCCAAGCGGTCTCCAAGGCCCTGTATGTCCAGCCGGATGGAGGCCTGCAGTGTGTTGCTGGCAGCCGCCAAGTCAGCACATGTGGGCAGAGCTTGCAGCAGTCTTCCCCAGTCTCTGTCTTCATGGGCTGGTGATGTTGCAGGGGAGAAAGCAGGTGAGTGAGCCCCAGTGCTGTCAGAGGCCTCGTCCGATGGGATCTGGGATGCCAGGTCCAGTGGTGTGGTGAGGTACCAGCGCAGGGAGGGGGTGAGAGACCCCTTTTTAGAATTGGCGGCTCTGTGGGAGCTCGATGTGCAATGATTTTTGTCCATTTTGCGGACATTGTGAGGGTTGTCTGCCAAAAAAACACGAGGAGGTCCAGGAGAGAAACTTTTTTATTTTTTATATTTATTGTTTTTTTATACTTATTTTTTTTTAATTTACTTTTGTAAAGCACTGATTCAGATAATGATGATTCAAAGCTACTCTCCAGAGAAAGTAATTGCTTATGCATGATCTGTTACCAAGATTTAATATGTATATAACTGTTTAACCCTTTGTAACATGCTGTTTTGTCTCCTACCTAGGTATATTGTTCTGATAGAAGAATTGATTAGACTGGCAATACGCTTATAAAGTTAATAATAATGAGAAAAATGCTGTATGAGTCTGTCCATTGTATCTAAAAATGTTTTTAAATTATAAGTGTTTGGTATATTAGTATTGGTCTTCACTTGCATGCAGCTGCAAATTTATCACTTTTGTTCACACTGCTTTTCTCCATAGCATATGTTATGATGCTTTCGGCACTATATTAATTTGTCACAGTTTACTTCACTGTATACAGGGTAGACCTTGTACATAACTTAATCTTTACAACCTAAAACACTCAGTACGTTCACGTTCAAATGTGTGCACGGACAGCTAGAATGATGGTCTTATCACTTGTTTTTTGGTATCTTAGCAATTTCCCAACATGTAATCACGTACCAATTACGTCACGTGACCGCCGCTAGCCACTTCCGGGTACAAACGGTGGGAGTGAGGGAGTCCATCACTATTGGTAAGTACTTCTATACTTTATGTATATATAGATTGATTGTATGTTAGCATATTGATCTTGAGAAAGACCCGAACGGATCGAAACGTCGATCATATTATATGTAAACTACTACTTGGATTAAATCAAACATTTATTTAAAAAGACCTCAGAGTGCACCTCTCTCTTTACTGCCTATATTTTCAAATGTGGGATTGCACCAAGGCAAAAAAACTCTACATATAGAAAGAGAATTGAGTGCCAAGCTACTTACTTTTTATATATATGTCTAAGTGTACTTTAATATTACTATATATATATATGTAGAAAGGCCATTAGGCCTGAATTTGTGGGAGGAGTATGTCCCCTACTTAAACTCCCAGCCCCTACTCACCGCTGCCGCTCAGCTGATTGTCCTTAGCAACCAGCACTTCCGGTCCAGCTTCCCGCCAGAACTGTACCTGTTTCCAGCAGTCAGACGTCCTGTTCAATCCTCCGTCCGTTCGAGGTCCATCCACTCGGTTTTTCCCCGGTCGAGGTACCCGACTTCCGGTCACGAGACCGGCACGTTCACGTAAGCAAGGCGTGGGAATTAGCGTTCGCTATTCCCCGCCGTTCGGGCCTAAAAACGTAGGGGTAGGCTCCCTCTTTCGCATTTACACGAACACATGCTTTTCGTTAAAATCTCCATTCGCGACAAAACGCACGAACGTTCGGCTTATTTCACTATCGTTTAAGCATATTCGTACGGAAACTACCGAATATATATTTAATGTATTAAGCTCATTATTATCTGTATTCCCTTTTTCCGTTCGGTCATTCAGCACCAACTTATTCGTATGGTTAAATACACGAACACCATCTTACTAATTTACATTCGGTTATATTTCTATTCTTACAAGCTAAGCATGCATAAGTTCTAATCACACGAATCCTACTATTACTTATACCTTCACATCAGTATGGGGTTATACTATCTGGTTTAACTACCAGCCCTGTGTTTTTCCTACCTTTGATAACCGATTAACGTATTTTTCTGTAATAAACATACTGTTTTAACCATGGTTCATACCTTCATACGTGTCTAATACAAGCTATACCATTCTTCCCAAAAAACACTCAGTTATAAGTCATACAAGTAATACCCATTACACATACTCCGTACTATTCCTTTCACATAAATCACGCTGTCACATTTTGGCTTTTACAGATTGCATCGGTCTCTTGCTTTTCTGCGCTAAAGTTGTTATTTCAAGGTCCTTTTATTACAGGAACAGGTATGGTATATTATCACTTTGAGTTATCAGGTTTTTATCCATTATCTTCACATCTATCGCTATATATGGAAATTGTCTTGGTTAAACCCTTAGATCCTGTATTAGTCTAAGCTTCCACCGATTCTACGCAGTTAACCTGCCACGATTAAACATAATTTCTGTACTTCAAAACCAAGGTATAGTTCACTCTCTTTTCAATACTAGACCTCACGCGGTCTCAACTCCATTACTACCTTTCCTCAGGCTTACGCCCAGGATACGTTATCTCTTTACTACTTGTCTACACAGACATTCGGTCATACGGCCATCAGGCTCAGAAGACACCAAAAAACCTGACCCGGTACTCAGCCATACCTTCAGGTACTTACATCCTTACTCAAGTACGTCCATTCGCTACCCCAAGGCCTCATTCTGCCTTCTCACTTATATCTAAAATCATCCCATTCCTACACCTAAACTTCCCAGATCCCTCAATGCAGGATCTCACGTGGCGCCCCTAACAAACCTTCTCCCAATACTATTCATACGACATCACGATACGTATAAATACATCATCATCTGTCTTAAACCCCCAGGATTCTTCCTCAAAGACAGCATTAAGACAAGACTCTCTACACTTATCAGGAGGCTCCAGATACCATTTGCGACCAGTCAAGGTTAGTATCCACACACCACTCCAGTCCTCTCACTTTACCCTTAAGCATACAATCGAACTGGCTATAGGGCACAGGCTAATGCCTTAGCCCACCCTATCAGGAAATCCGATACCGCGAGGCCTATCACCCCCACCCCACCTCAACACGGAGGTACGGCCCCACGCCCAAACCATAGTTATAAGCCTCGCATGCCCTACTACAGGGCTCTAGTTAGGGCCTCACCTGTCACGGCCACACGTTTTGATTTCTCTTATCGTCACCGAGAGGCCAACATCCCGCCACCACCTCTGTGGCACCTACGTCATAAACCAAATCATAGGTAGAGCCTCTCACCGCCACTTGGCATTAGCAGGGCCTCACCTATCCAGTAATTCAATAGTTAAGTTTTTCGCCTCGGCATCTAGCATTACAGTCCAGTTCTTCCAGATACACCACTCCCCATACCCCCCTACTTACCTCACTCCCCTTCTAATATATCTTTCACATAATCATTCCTTTTTAGAATGTCCCAAGAACTAATTCCAACTGAAGAACTGACAGAAGAAACACCATTCACGCCAATCAGACCCGTGTCTCCAGGCGAATCACTCACTCTTTCAACCCCCACGTCCTTGAGAGCATGGACTATTCCCAAAATCACGGCCGAGCTTAGGCTCAGGGGAATCCCCTTTCCGGCCACAGCTAGAAAGGCAGAACTTTACAGGCTGCTTACCCACCAAGCCCCCGAGCCTAGGCCGGGAACTAGCTCTCAAGGACAACCACCAAGAAACAGCACGGCCACCCAGGATACCCTGGCAGATATCTTGGCCAATCTACAGACCCTCAATAGCAGGCTGTCTAAGGTGGAGAGCGCCATCTCCTCCTCAGGTACTAACACTGAAGTCCCAGTCTCTACCACGGTTGTACCTGCCATACCTACATGCCCCCCTATACTCCCCCCTCCAGCACCTGGCACAGCCATCACACCATTCGAGTCACCAGCACACTCCGTCCCAGACTCTATCAGGAAAGATATCCTAGACGGGAAAGAAGTGTGTCTGGTGTCTTTACTCATAGCCTCTCAGGATATACTCGAGAACAAGGCATACAACTATGGTGACATTTCAATCGTGCTCAAAACGAGGGATCCCAGGCTCAATAAAAAATTGTCTATCCCCCAGTTTGTGATAGCTTTCGGGATATACCGTGACGTCATTTGCACGGTGTATCCCCATAGGAGAGAAGAGCTAGATCTCTATCTCCACAAGGTAGTGGATCTAGGCATCAAGTACGGGGGCTCTTCCTTCTATGACTACCACAAGTCAGTTTCAGCGAAGGCGGCGACCCATCTCAAGCAGTTCAACATTAGAATAAACTGGGGTCAGATGGACACAGAACTTTTCTGTCGCCACTTCGCTGGACTCAGGCCCCCGGCTTGTGCCATCTGTAATTCTACATCCCACATGGCGGACTTATGTCCCGTCGAATCAGATCCCACCACCTCCACTCCCACCCTTCACCCCACGTTCACACCTCACTCCTCTTTCACCCCTCACAACAAGCCAGCGGGTGGTCTTCGGGATAAGCTGGGTAGGCCCATCTCCTTTTTAGGTAAAGCGCAGGTGTGCAATAATTTCAACGCAGGCTCCTGCAGTTTCAGCGCCTGTAGATTATTGCACATCTGCTCCATATGTTTCAGGGCACATACCAGCAGGCACTTAGTGGATTTTCTCACCACAGGTTTCTCACAAGGGTTTCACACAGGCATAGTAGCCATTCCCCCAGGTACACTAGAATGTTCTAATCTCCTGTCTGCACGTTTAGACCCAGTCGCTGTAGACACTCTCATTTCCGCAGAAACCACTAACTGTTTCATGATCGGTCCCTTCACCTCTTCACCGTTTTCCTCCTGGCGCACTAACCCTATTGGTATTGCTATTCACAAATATTCTAATAAAAATGTCTTATTATCGATTTATCGGCACCGCACTCCTCTTTTGTTCCAAGCATAAACGCACTCATTCCAGCAGACGAATTCTCACTGCAGTATGTTACCATCGACGACGCCATACAGTCCATCATTACATCTGGTAATCGACCCTGACTCAGCAAAACAGACATCACTAACGCCTTTAAATTATTACCCATACACCCCTCACTCTGGCACTTACACGGTGTTAAATGGCGAGGGAATTATTACTTCTCAACACGACTCACTTTCGGTTCTCGAAGCAGCCCCAAACTTTTTGACATTTTCGCAGAGTCACTATGCTGGCTGCTTCTGAACGTCATCAGGTGTCACTCCGTTATTCACTATCTAGACGACTTTCTACTGATAGAGCCAGG